TATATGGTAAATTTTTTAATGTCAATTAACTACTCCATTAGGTATGTAGATGTATACAATGGACTAGACTAACTCCTCTGAAGAAATTCCTACTTATCCTATTGATTACATAAATTCTGATAAAATAACTACATATGTATTTACTCAGTAGAGCATATCTTAGTAGGATCCATTCTGTTCCCACTGAGATTATATTGACCAAAGATATTAGAACAACAAGAAACACTCTGAATCTCTAAGGTAACAATTTACATTTTTAGCTCTCATATTGCTTTTATAATCACAATTCACACTTTATTAAAAGAAAAAGAAAAGGTAACTGCTGAAATCAATTTTTAATGATTAATAAGCAAGGCTTGATATTTAAACATCAATTAGTTTTGATGCTTTATGAAAACCACTGTTAAACTATTTCAAATTTGTTAAAAATGCTGTAGCAATCTTTAAATAATTAGGTACCACTACTAACATAAACTTAAACTATTCGTTAGTGAAATGGAATATATCTGCTAATTTAAATTGAAAAAAATGTGTAAGGGGTTGCCAATACTTTTTACAGTATTTATTTCTTCAAAATATGAACAGTATATTCTTTTTTAAAGAAGAACATTTAATTTGACCCATAAAAGGAAAAATAGCTGTACTTAGTTGATATAATCACGCACATTATACCCTGTTTTTACAGTCAAAAGCAGAGGTTTTTTCCAAATGAAAGAGAAACAAATTAGCCATTAAAGCAAATAAATAAAAAAGCACTCCAAACAAAGGAAATTCAAGTGATAGAGTCAATCAACAAAAGTGTACTGGAAATAACTAAAGCACAATCATTTTCACAACAGTAACAACCAATACTGAATAAAATATTTAATTTAATAGTTTGGGAATGTTTGTCTATAAATAGCTACATCATTTCATTTTGATGTTTTACGTAAAGATACAAAACCCACATACTTTAAATGGCCACGTTTTGTACAACATAATACTAATATAAATAATATAAATATGTAATGGTAACTAATGCTTTTCTAAGTATAAAAAGCAAACCCTATTTCCATACCAACCATATCCTATGTGGATTGGAATAAAGAATTAACGGTATTTCCAAATGATGATATTACAACAAAAATATTTCCAATCGAGGAGAAATCTCCATTGTAAACGCAGGAATTGCCCACCCTCTTCTCCGTCTTATATGAGGAAATGAACTTTTCTTATCTGTCACACTGACACCCAAGAAGATCTTTGTCTACCTCAAAAAAAAGCTTAAAATGTCAAGACCCAGCACCCCTCTTTTCATGGTTTATTAAGCAAAAAGCCAAACTCTTCACGTTCCCTTGTAGTTCCAACAATCTATGATTTAAATGGGGGTAAATGGCTCTCTTTTCTTGTTCAGTAGTGTCCTGGTGAGGAAATGATTTTACTGTCCTTTTTTTGTGGGGTCCTGCCCATTTATCTAAAAGGAAATGAATTACAACAGGATGACAAGGCCACAAAATGAAGCCATTTAGTTTTACAAATCTATTATGTCCTCCAATCTGTTTTATGGGCCTGGTCCTATTGTAAACCAAGAAAACCCCTAAAACAAACTTTTTTTCCTCTTCTCTCTTTCCAGTGAAAACATTTACAATTTTATGAATGTTTTTTCAAGCAGTTTAGCTTTTTTATCCCCATTATGTGTTCCTTTCCCAGTGCCCTTCCATCCACTTTCTCAAACATACAAAACATTCAGAGATAAGAAACTGGACTTTTCAAATACAAACTGCTGACAACTGTCAGAAGCACTTTACTGGGACATTACTGGCTGTAGCTTCAATGAATTAAGCTTGATTCACTGCGGGTGAATCATTTTCAATGCAGAACTGTTCAGCAGTAATTGGCCAAGAATCCCTGCTGTGAAAAGCACTTGTCAAATAATGCTTGTTTACAAATATATCTCCAGATAGCAAAAAGTGGCAGTTACTGAATAAGTTCAGGGCCACCTCCAAAATTCATAACAGTGGACATGCCCTCTTCACTTACTAAATTTATTAAAATGTCCACTTGTTGATACACTTGCTAATATTTATCCTCCTTGATCAAACTGAGACGTCTATTGCTAAATAAGTCTCCGAATTCTTTTATAATAAAAGTTTTGTATATTACACTTTAGATCAAAAGTTTCTTCCACATGTAGTTTATGCCTAATATAATAAAACAACTAAAGATTTATTTATCTTATAAAATGCTTAGAATTCAGACTAAAGAGCAAATTTTCCTCTTATTGTCTACTATCCAACGTACTCTAACACTCAAATAAATTTCACATCAATTCAAGATTTTAGATTTATGCTTGGTTTTTCTCTTCAATTCTGCTTATTTATCTCTTAAACACAGTTAAATTTAAAAATAACTACAATACCAGTTATGAATGTACACTCACGATTATTTCTATCTGCCTCCACACTTTTTCACCCCACATAATGGCAGTATTCATATTATACACATATATAATGTATGTATACAGGACAGTTTGGGAAACCACTAAGCATCTATAGGTTACAGAAAGTAAATTATATGTGAGCAAGTTATTAATTAATTCAGCATCTACATCAAACCTTTGTGCTCCTGACATTCCAAAATCCCTCCAGAAAAAAAAAAACAACAATAACAAATAAAACAAACTGAAAACTCTAATCTTAATTCCTAAATAAATGTAAAAATACACTGCTGTTAGAAATATTTTAATATATTCTGCTCTCAATTTATAGCAGTAGCATGGGGAAAGAAAAGGAAAAGAAGAATGTAAATTTCACACAAGAACAGAAATAAAGGTCCGGGATGATAGTTAGTGAAAAGATAGAAAAATAAGCTGGGCAGAGATGTAATGAATCAATAATGCCACAGACATAAATAAGATTTTATTTCTAATTACGTAGAACAGTGGCATGTGACAAAACGTGCCCCAAACAGCAGGCACGCTTTTATTCTTGGTGTCTTCAGAGCACCAAGTAGTAAAGTACATTTTTGGTTAGATCCCCTCCAACCCCCATCTTAGTGTAGCCCAAGTTTTGCTGCGTGATGGACTAGCTGAGCTGAGACAATACAATCGTGGGGGTTAAATCTGTAATATAACCCAGGCGACGTTGCACAAGATTCGAGCTCTGCTTAGGACACCCTAGGAGACCAGCGCTATTTCCCTCCCTCCCTTCCATCTCCTTCTGCCTCTTCCTCCTCCTCGCTCAGCTCAGTCTTGGCCCTTGTTCCCACCGAACGTCACCCACCCTGAGAAGTCCTTTCTTCCCATTTTCTAACCAAGGGTGACTCCCTTTCATCCCTAAGTCCCCCTCCCCCATCACACCTGGAGAAAAAAAGATTCCTATAACGGAAACACGAAAGGATGAATGATATTACCGTTAAACCTCTTTAAATTCAAACCAGGATGCCCCTTTCGGCGGCATAAGACAGTTAATAAAAGGACCTTTCACCCTGTTACAATCCTCTAGACTTCTAACAGAACGGATTTAACGTAATATGTGAATAAAAGGCCTACGACTCCCGAAAACACTTTTGCAACTTTATCAGAAAGGGAAAATGCAAATTTCTTGGCTTCACCCTGGGAGATCACGCAGATACGCACAGATAGACGGATACTGATAGATATGCATGAGCCTTTAATAGGAGTTGGGGGTGAGAGAGAGAGAAAGTTGGCGGGATTGGGAGGGGGTCTCCATCCGCCCGCTTGCACACGCTCCCCGGGAGCCGGCCGCGCTGGGACACCCGCTCGGCGCCTGCTCGCCGCATGCGAGTCCCGAGGACACGCAGGACCGCACCGCGGTCTTCCGGACCAGCGTCCCGTGCCCCGGGCGTGGAAGGACTTTCTTCAAGGTTCTAAGCCTCGCGCGTCGCAGCCACAGCTCCCAATGGAAACCCCAGCCTTCTAGCCACTGGGGGACGGTTGTCCAGGTTCCTGTGGTGGAGCTGACAGCTCCCCTGGTTGGAATCTGAAACGCTGCTCCCTCCTCCCCCGCGAGAACTGCGCCCTTGAGCTGAGCCCCGAGCGCGGTTCGGGCTCAGAGAGCAGCGAGGGCGGCTGCCAGGGGCTCGCTCGGAGGCCGAGGACTCACGGCCAAGAGGGGGCGGGCGGAGGGGCTGAGCACTGCTCCGGGAGCACCGGGAGCGGCACAGGTGCTGCTCCCGCGCCTCCCCTCCTCTCCCGGAGGAAGGTGGGAACGGTCTTCTGGGTCCGGAACACAGGATCGGGGGCAGGGAGGGGGGCCGGGCACTCCGGGATCGGGGGCCTGCCAAAGCAGGTCTTTTCCATCCCGAGACAAGCCCTGGCTGGTTCCGGCAGCAACTTCCTAACAGCGCCACTCCCCACACCCCCCGCCGCCCCTCTGCTCCTTCCAGCTCAGCTTGACGGCGACAACGAACTCCCCCAAGAAGAAGGGCACTCAACAGCGTGGGGCGCCTTCCGTCCCTCGCCATTCCCCTTCCCCGAGAGAAATAATATCTCTTGCCACCCACCCCAGAATAGCAGCCGGCGATGCCCTAAATAACAGCTCCCAGCAGGCGCTTACCCCCAAAATAAAAGCATCCAGCCACCCCCACAACGTTTCTCATCGCCGGCCTCAAATAACGGTTTCTAAAAGCCCTATGGCTCTGGAGATCCTCTTTGTTTGGCTTCCACCGTTTTCCCTTTTTTGGTTCCCCATTGCCCTTTCTTCGTTGGGCCCCGGCGGCTCCCACGGCCCGGGGGGGGTTTTCGGTTCCCTTTTCCCACCGGTGTCCAACTTCCCAGCCCCCAGGCAGCCTGTGTCCACATGCACGCTCCGCGCTCCCCAGCTCGTGTCACACAATGCAACCCGAGACGGCAGACAGGGAGCAAAAAGGCCAGCGCAGAGGCCGACAAATATCAGTTCGAGATGAGAAGTGAGATTCAGCAGCGTCCAGACCCCGCACTTCCAGGCCCCGCCTCGCCCCTCTGCCCTGGGGCGCCGAGGTCGCCGCCCCCGTCTCCCTACCTTCGCTGCTGGGGCTGGCCAGGAGGGTCCGGAGCGCGGCGCACAGGAGAAGGCACGTCCAGAGGGGGGCCCTGCGAGGTGCGGGGTAGCAGCCGGCCAGGGACGCAGGGGTGCTGGAGGTGTCGCCGCCGCCGCCGCCGCCGCCGCCCGGGGGCCTCCGGCGTCCCGCACCCCGGGGCCCCGAGCCCCGCATCTTCTTGTAGGCTCCTCCGCCGCCGCTGTCCCGCGCGGCTCAGTCCACTGCTTCGGCCTCGCGGAGCAGGCGAGGAAGACTCGGGGCTCCTCCTCGTCCCCCGTGGGGTCCCACGCCTTCTGGCACGCGGCTCCTCCGAATGCGGGGACCACGGAGCCGCTGAGACGGCTGAAGTTTGCTGCTGGCTCCCGTCGCCCTCCCCTCCGGTGGGGTTCGGTGAGATCCTGGCTCTGGCTGCTCGTGCAGTTCCGGACCGGGCTCAGGGGTGTCCACAGGGCTCTCGAGTCCTGTGTCTGTTAAGACTTAAGCCTCTCAAGACTTCTTAAGGACTGAGAATTTCTAAATGGCACTGGCGGAAAGGTAAAGGTTCCTTTTCAGTCTTCAGTGCTGAAGCGGACGAGGGTAAGGAAGACAGGTCATCTTCAGACGAAATCCTCAAGTGAGCAGAGGAGGAGAAAGCAGGGTGTCTAAGGATACAAGGAAGAGAAGTTGAGAAAAATCTGAGGAGGAAGACACAGGAGAGCGTGGAGCCAAGGCAAAGATCCGGAGAGTTCAGAGACGCTGACGGGAATAGCTGCAGGCGGAGCGGCGAGGACGGAGGTCCGGCCGGCGGGCAGGAGCGCGGAGCGCGGCGGGTTCCGCTGCGCGCGGAGGAGGCGGCGTGCGCGCGGCTGTGAGGCGAGGTGGCGACTGCTCCGCCGCGGCGGGCTCGCGCTGTGTCTGGAGCTCCGGCGTCTCCTCCGCCTCGCCGCTCTGCGCCTCCCACCCTCCTTCCCGCCTCCTCTCCCCTGCTCCCCCGCCCCCCGCCAGCGAGGATCTCCTGCAAGTGCGAGTTGCTCCGGCGAAGTCACGCGCCCACGGAGGGAAGTAATGTGGAGGCTGCCGTGGTGAGTGTTGCCTAGCGGTCTCCGGGAAAGGCGCGTCTTTCCTCTCCGGAGAATCAGGGCGAAGAATTCTCCTGACGACGTTGGCAAGGACCGGGGTTCCCGGGAGGCGGAAGGGCAATCAGCCCTGGCTGCAGCCGCCGGAGCCCTGAGAGGCGCGCGTCCCTTCGTCTGGCATGTTGCCTGCTGCCCCTCACGGGCTGGTGGCATCAACAACCTTGTCGTCACGCAGCCGCGCATACGCAGGCTCTGCTGCCGGGCCGTGGCTCGTTTCTTGAACACGCGTATCGCTCGCTGCTGCTAACCCATTCCGTGCTTCCCATTCTGAGGTGATCGGAATGGGATCATTACTCAGCGTTGTCTCCAGAAGTAAATTCTAGATACCCAAACATAGAGGCGGCCGCTCTGTGGGAGCTTTCAGGGAGTCAGAGAATTTGGCCTTTGAGATTTGTAGTGTGTCAGGTATTTTAAGAGGTGATGATTTAATTCATTTATTTCATTGATAAAAAAATTTTTTAAGAAATTATGTGGTAGGCAGACACATGTGATTAATTCTAGTGAGATTAGCCCAAGTCATATCATTTCGGGGCTTTAAAAATTAATTATTTTAATTGATTGTGTCTTATTGCATTAAGAGGCTTGCAAATAATTAGGGAAAAACAGCTTAAGACAATTAACTTTGTATGCTTTACCCCAATTCTGTCTTCTTTGCTTTAATATTTTCCCTCAATTTACTCCTTCAGTCTTTCAATGAGATCATCTGAAGGGCAATTTTATTCTATTGGCATCAATAAAAAAAAACAACACTATGAAAGAAACACCTACAAAAAAGTGTGGTTTTAGAAGAAAGGTATCTCATTTAATTTGGTGTAGTAACCACTGTAAAAATTGGGCTTCTGTTCACACCTAATAAAGGTGAGTCTGCTCTTCAGTTTTGACATACCTAGAGTCATGTTTGTCTTCAGAATAAATTTCTCACACTCTTTAGCTGATGACATTTGGCTTTTGTTTAAATATTTGCAATAAAGATGAAGGAATAAAGCAACAGGGGTGCAATTTTGTAAAGAGGTGGAAGCTCATCTTTGATTTTTTTTTTTTTTTTCCTGAAACGTTTTGGCACCAAGAGTCGGAAAGCAGCTTCTTTCTATTATAATGTGCTCCAAATGGATGAAGCAAATTTAGAGGCATGGCAGTGAATCAGTCTTTCAGTTTGGCAAAAAGCTTTACAGTGAGATGGAAAGTTAAAATTTATGTTTCTATTTGAAGACCATTCAAAATGTAAGCTCCCCCCCCCATTTATAGTTGATTTACTTAAAAATGTTTAAACAGAATATCAACTAAGATACCTAGAGTCTAAGAATACATAATAAAACTAATATGAGACATAAGCCTTTAATGGGGTTTGAGCTAGTCGATTTACTTCTATAGGCCTCAGTATTCTAATCAATAAAATGTGGGATTTGGAAAAGATGGTTTTCAAGCTCCCTTCTTTTTCATAATCTTTGCATTTCTACCTTACTAACCTGCTCATCTATCTCTAATTATGTACTATTGACTGCAAAAATAACTCGATTTCTTTAGCCTTTAAAGCTTTCTACTACGAAGTGTTTAAACAAATTTTCTATTTTATTCCACACTAAAGCTATACATTCAGTGTTCCTCTAAATTGCCTCATGCCTCTCTGATTTTTATGCCTGTCATTCCATTCTACAGAAATCCCATCCACAAAAATATTTAAACCCCCTAACCCCCATCCCACCACACACACACATTGCTCCCATCTAAATCCTACCCAGTGTCCAAGGAGAGTCAGGCATTCAAGCTTGATTCCTTTTCAAAAAAAGTGACTTGGTTGTCCTCAAAGCATTCACAGCTTGTGATTTATGTAAATAAACACGATGCCAATAGTTTCTGAATCAAAAACTAGAAAGATGATCTAACTATAAAGTGTATATATTAAGAGACAGAGAGACATAATTTAAACCAGGTATATCAAAGAAAACCAGGGACACTGGTCACTGTGGTCATACTTATGTGATCTCCTAAGATTGCTAACTTACTGAGCGATTGAGATTCCAGAATGCAAAATTTTTTGTATTTTCCACCTTACATAGCAGTCATTTTTCTCATAGTTGTTTAGTGATATTTATTAAATATATTTGAAAGAATGGACAGCTTTAAAATGAAGCCCCAATGGTAGCAACGAAAGTCATTTTTGATCTAAAGAGGGTTAATCAGAGAAGGTAATGATGGTGATTTGACTTGGGCATCAGTCTCAAAGGAGATCTTACAATGAGCCATGTGTTGATTTCTTGGCGTGTTAATAACCTTAGCACACTTACATTGAACCATCCTATTACATGAAAACTAGATTTGTTTTTTTTTTCTTTTATATTTATTGCTTTGCACAACACAAGGTTACATTAGTATTGATTTGGATGCAGTATTGTTTGCATTTCTCATTTTGGGGCATGGCTGCTATGGCTTCAAAAGATAAAAGTAGCTGGTGTCCCCTAAGATCTCGGCTTGTATGTGGCTTTATTACTAAGCTTTCATGAAGGAAGGATATTCATAGTAACCTTGATAAGGCACCTTGAAAGTTTACTACCCTTATAAAAAGTTTAAATATTATAATTAAGTTCAATGTATTAATAACCCTGAATGTATCTTCTCTGTATTCAAAGTAGAACAACAAAAGCAGTCTTGATAGAAAGACATGCTAATTTTTACTGAACATGTGCTGTATGTGAAGCATTTTGTGATGTTTTTACATTAACTATTTTACTTCATGCTAACACTTTGACTCTGATAATAGTGCAAGTATTACCCCCATGTTAATGATGAGAAAACTGAGGAGTAAGTTTAGGTAACCTAAATAGTCTCACAGCTGGTAAGACTTGGGAACTTTCACCCATGGTACAAACTCTATTCAAAAAAATACTAATGCAACTGAAGTAAAGAATAAATTCTATAACCAGGTTGGTCAGAAAAAGAGGACAACCCCAAAATTCAGCATGAGTAGTAGCAATTAATAGATAAAATACTCTAATTTTCAGGTTCCCAAAAGCAATTAAACAAAGAATATTAAATGAATAGGAGAAAACAAGAAACGAAGGATCATAAATAAGCATTTCTTGGAGAAAAAGACTGTTTCATGTACATAAAAACATGCACACAGTTTGTTCATACACAGTGGAGACAATGGACCAAATCAAGAAAATAACAAGATTGAAGTCGGTGGTCAGATAATATTAGCACAAACAGATGGCACATAGCCCCTGTAAACATAAGCAACAATCTTATAAAAATAAGCTAAATAAATTCCATAAACTTATGAGTATTTTCCCTAAAATATTATATAATCTTAGAAATTTTTTACATAACTCGTAAATACTTTTGTCAATTAGCTACATTCTCTCTTTGGAGAATTTGATAAAAAAAAACACACAAGCAAAGCAAAATTTTAACCTATGGTAGATTTCAGATGAGAAATTATGAGATGGTCCAATGAAACTATAAGATAGCTTAACGAAGTTAATTTTTCAGATCCATAATTTGCCAAAAAGGACAAATATATGGTAACGTAAATTATTTTGATCCCAAAGGTAAATCCAGACTAATATATTTAAGTGATCAATAGCTCTTGAAGTTCACAACCAATACTATAATATTTCTATTATTTCACGTCACATGATAATTTAATGAACGTAAAACAGAAAATATTTTAATTTTTGTTCAGTGTTATTTGGTTTCTTAAATATTTTTCCTGAAGTCCTAGTGACACAGGGAAGTAATTCCCAATGCTGGGAACCAGTTGAAGTCCAAGGGGGTCCTTGGCTTCACAAAAGGAAGAATTCAGGAGCTAGCCCAGAGTGTAAATGGAAAGTGAGTTATTCAAGAAGCATAGAAAATTTACTCCACAGAGTAGAGGCTAGTTCTCCTTGAGGAGGGGAACTGCTCTGTGGTTCCTTTAGTCTCTCTATTTAAGCAATGGCTTAATTATAGGCTAAACAAGGGGAGGCATATTCATGTTGTTTCTTGGAAAAGGGAGGTGTTTTCCTGGAGTTAGGATGACGCCTTTCTTTTGACAAAATATGGTCTAACTGGAAGTGTCATGGCATCAAGTCCATGATGAGAGTGGAAGGTTTCCTTAGAAACTTCTATGGTAATAAGGGTATAATGAAGCTGCAAGGTCAAGAAGCTGTTGATTTATCCACCATCTTAGTTCTAACTGGTTGGAACTTGACCTGCCCCTGTCTTGTTTAGATCATGGTGGTTGGAAACCTGACTTATATCCTGTTTTGA